GAATATTGTCACAGCACCCATGGAGGTGGTTTGGGATGTTTTATAGACTTTCCTTCAGGGTATATTGATACAACAGGTGTCCAAAATTAAGAAACGCAATAAGGAATGGGAGAAAATCATATTGGGAGAGGTTGCAACTGCAGAAAGGGAATATTTGTATGACCCATTCCCTGAGGCATTTCAACAATGGGTGAATAAGTAAGAGGAATATAAACACGGGGCTCTAATGAAGGCGTAAAATAAAAGATTAATTCAAAATCAGTGTTTTTATGAAGAAGGAGAGAGCGTGGGACATATGTTAGCTCTTTTGGCAAGAACAAATACACCAACAATGGTCATACCTACTATTAGGACACGAATGGGCATTTCATTTCATACGTACCAGAAATTGTCGATACATTTTAAACAATATTATGAAGGATTGTACAGTATGCAACAAAAGGATATGGAAGGGAAGATGAAGGAATTGTTTAGAGAGTTGGGGAATCCACTCCTATCTAGGGAGAAAAGAGAAATGTTAGATGCACCTATAACTTTGGAAGAGTTACAACAGGTGGCACTTGCAATGGCAAGCCAGAAGTCTCCTGGACCAGACAGATTGCCACCAGAGGAGAATAAGTGTTATGGGGAGATCTTGCTGCTGGAGCCTTTTAAGGTAATAGGGCGGAGGAAGAGAGGGTTTTACCCTCTTCTATGAGGGAGTTGACCATCATAGTTTTGTCCAAGGAGGGGAAGGATCTATTTAACCCATCTTCCTATAGACCAATATCTTTCTTATGTACAGATGTGAAATTGCTTGCAAAGGTTCTGGCAGCGAGATTAAGTAAGATTATTCAGACCAGTTCGGATTTATACCCAATAGGTCCACAAGTACGAATATAAGGAAAGTGTATATAAACTTGCAGGTCCCAGTGGTCAATACGGGTTCAAGGGCTGTTCTATCCCTTTTGCAGTGTGTGCAAACCTGGTCAAGAACTACAGAAAACGTTTGACCTCTGTAATTGCAAACAAGGGCTTCTGTACCAAATATTAACACTGATTTTCTCAGGTGTTCAAATACTTATGTTCAGCAGTGCAAGACAAATAAATTCTTTAAAAATCATACAATGTAATTTCCTGAATTTTTTTTTTAATTCTGTCTCTCAGAGTGGGAATGCACCTACAATGTGAATTTCAGACCCCTCCATGATTTCTAAGTGGGAGAACTTGCAAAATCGCAGGGTGTTCAAATACTTCTGTTCCTCACTATATATTGGGCTATGTGGATGAGGACAAGCTAGTGAAAGAGGTACGAGATGTAATAATTCGGTGTTTGTTCCAAGCACGTAAATTATTTTTGCAGAGGTGGCTTGCAGTGGTGCCACCCTCATGTATGGAGTGGGTGAGGACGGTTTAAGAAACAATAAGGAAAGAAAGATTGGTATAAATCAAATGGAGATGTATAAAGAAATTTCATAGAATTTGGAAACCATGGGTAAGTAGAGTAGGATTAACTGTTAGGGATTGGGAAGAGATTAGGTAGTAGCCAGGAAGAGAAGGAAAAAGAAAGTAAAATGCCCGAAAGAAAGTTTAAGATGAACCTTTGGCATTTTAGAGATGAAGAAAGTAGTGCATTATTATGTTGAGACACAATTGAAATATGCGAATGTTAATTGTGAAATGTGTATGTTTTATAAAAACTTTTCAATAAAGAATAATTAAGATTAAAAAAAAAGTAAGGGTCCCAACACTGAACCTTGGGGTACACCACTAACAACCCTAGACCATGCAGAGTGTGAATCATTAACCTCTACTCTCTGAATGCGATCTTTCAGACAGTTTTCCATCCATTTACATATGGATTTTTCCAAGCCTGTAGCCTGCGGGGAACTGTGTCAAATGCTTTTGCAAAGTCCAAATATACCATCCGCAGCCACCCCTCTGTCCAAGGTTTTGCTCACCCCATCATAAAAAGAAATCAGATTTGTTTGACAACTTCCGTCTTTTATGAATCCGTGCTGTCTGTTGCTTAAAATATTTTTTTCCAGTAAGAACTCATCTATGTGGTCTTTTATTAAACTCTCCAGTATCTTCCCAAATATAGAAGTTAAACTAACAGGTCTATAATTACTTGGTAAAGATTTTGACCAATTTTTTAAATATAGGCACCACATTGGCTTTATGCCAATCCAGTGGTAGTATGCCAGTCATTAATGAGTCCCTAAAAATTAGAAACAATGGCTTTGAAATGACAGAGCTCTATTCTTTAAGGACCCGTGGGTGTATGCCATCTGGTCCAGGTGCTTTATTCACCTTTACACTGTCTAAATATTTCTGGATCATATCAATTGTAAGCCAATCTAGATCATTTGGAGCTGTGTCAATACCATGCCCATTATGGACAAGAGCTCTTCCATGCTCCTTTGTATACACAGAGCTGAAGAAGGTATGTAATAAATTTGCCTTCACTTTGTCCCCAGTCACCCACTCTAGATTATTTTGTAAAGGGCCTACATGCTCGGACTGGACCTTTTTACTATTAATACATTTGAAGAATTTTGGGGGGTTTGTCCTGCTATGTTTTGCAATCTGTCATTCATTTTAAATTTTTGCGGCCTTTATTTCCCATTCTACTGCTCAGTTTGAACTTAAGCAAGTTGTACTCACTATGTCTAGATGCCTAAGGGATAGTTCACATTAGATACAGTCAAGTGCGTTTTTTTTCTGCATCAAAAATGCATGCACAGTGTTTTCCATGTATTCCAATGGCCCTGGTACACATCAGTGCAGTCAGTTCCAGAAAAAAGTAGAACATGCTGCATTTTTTCTGCACAGAACCATACTGGAACATAGCAATCTGCAACAAAACTGCACTGGAACTGCGCGTGGAGTGAACTGTAAGCAAAAACGTATCCGGAATGCATCCGGAGTGTGTTTCTGTAGTGTGAACTGGCCCTTAATGCACTGAGTTGCTGCCATGTATTTGGCTGATTAGCAATTTGTGTTACCAAGCAATTGAACAGGTGTACCTATTAAAGCGTCCGGTGAGTGTATGTTCCAATATTTGGCCTACACGATTGTATTTATGCATATTATACATTTTTAGAAGTGCTGTAATAAAAATGTACCACTTTTTATCAATAGCAGATTTTCATTTTGGTTAAAACCCATGTTTTGTATTTGAATATTGTTAAGAAGAATTACATATGCTCAGAAATATCTTATGGAAAAAACACATTTTGCAATTCTATTGCACTTTTGATTTATTGAATAGTCTGAAATATGGTAACACTTATTGGCAGGTATTAGTGCCTGTTCACATATATGTGGATTGGATGCAGCTTGAACCACATCAAATCCTCATGACATGTGAAAGGACATTTCTTCCCATGGTGCATGTTCACATATGTCCGGTGCACTGGCGGTGCAGATTCGGTGCAGTTTTAAAAAGAGTCATGTCCAATTTCTGAGCAGTGTTGTCCAGTTCAGGTGAGAATTACAGGCTATTGACTTCTATGGGAACCGTTTCTAAATCACACGTGTGAACAGGATAATCCTGAGAGCTAATCCTATCCTGAACCTGATGTAAACCTGACATGAACCGCTGAACAACTATTGTATCATTTAGCTGTGAAACCTGAGCTTCCATCAGCTTTTAAGATGATATGTCTGCCATGCCATATGCCTTGAAATATGATATGGGAATATGGGAAAAAATATATTTTACAACCTGCATTGCACTGTCGATTTTTGAACCAGTCGGCACAGTAATAAGGCTAATAAGACACAGTAGAACTCCTAAGAGAAATATAGATAGTCTAAATCATATTTGGTATCTAACAAATCCTCATTTAATTCTGCTTATAAAATAAGTTTGCAGATTTTGAAATTTTGTCATATGAAGTGATATATGGAAATTAAGGATTATTATGTGAAATTAGTTCAGAACAACCTTTACAGGGTCAAGAAAAGGCTGTTGCACATGGCAGCTGGAGCCCCATTCCCCATCAAAACTATGAAAGTTACTGAGAGTCATTCAAAGGGTCAGTGCCTTATCGTTCCATATTGTTTAAACACTCTGCAAGTCTTTGGAGCTTTATACCAAACAAAAGACTGGGCAAACTCCACTTACACTTTTAAACCTCTTATTTTATCATTGCTCGTGTCTGTTTTGTAATGTATCTTTTTTGCTTTAAGTAGCAATTAGGAACTTTGCCTCTGAGAAAGTTACTTTGCAGTTTGGATGTGCCAGCGAGAGATCCAAGTATATTTTAAAGATCAAAATCACAAAAATGGATGCTGTGAATGCTGTGTGTTTCATTAAAACATGCAGTGGTAGGCATAACTGCTCAGTTAGGCTGCCCAAGTGATAATCACATTCAATCTGCTTGTGATTAGATGGTTGTCCAGAGACCTGGAAAATCTCTGTGAAGGAAGATGCTGCGAGTGTAAATGTCACAATGACAGGAATCTGTTTTGTTCCGAATGTTATTTTTTAATACATCCTGTACTATCATAATTAATGAAATGCAGATTTGTCATGTGCAAAATTGGATTTTTGGTTTACTAGCCCATCCCAAGGCACAGGTCTTCTTCACATTCATAACTACATGGATTATGCTGCCACCTTTAGGTGAATGAACTCAGGTTAAAAAAAAAAGCCGGTTTCCCACCCAGACATAACTCCACCTAGTTCACTAAGCCTCAGTTTTATAGCAAGCAATAAGGAACCAAAACAAAAGGGGGAAGGAATCCTGTGTCCTGCTATGTATGATTTTATGGGTAAAACAAAAATCCTAATTCCTTAATTGTACATCACAGAACACAGGACTTCTTCATATTCATGACTTCTTGGGATACCCCAGAGTAGTGAAAATGAGGGGTGGGCAACACAGCATCAAAACTAACACACTTAAAAGCAAAAGAATAGGGGAGAACCCCTCCGAAACCTTTTGCCCAAAACTGACATCTGCAAAGTCATGAAAATCAACCAGATAAAACTTGGTAAACATGAAGAGAAGACTACCATATTTTTCGCTCCAGAAGACACACCTGACCATAAGACGCACCTAGGTTTTAGAGGCAGAAAACAGGAAAAAAAAAATTCTGAACTAATGGACTGCAGACATAGTACAGGAGATGACCAGAGACTGCGGACACAGTACATGAGATGATCAGAGACTGCGGACACAGTACAGGGATGACCAGAGACTGCGGACACAGTACAGGGGATGACCAGAGACTGCGGACACAGTACAGGGGATGACCAGAGACTGCGGACACAGTACAGGGGATGACCAGAGACTGCGGACACAGTACAGGAGATGACCAGAGACTGCGGACACAGTACAGGAGATGACCAGAGACTGCAGACACACTGCAGGAGATGACCAGAGACTGCGGACACACTGCAGAAGAGATGACCAGAGAGACTGTGGATATAGTACAGGAGATGACCAGAGACTGCGGACACAGTACAGGAGATGACCAGAGACTGCGGACACAGTAGAAGAGATGACCAGAGACTGCGGACACAGTAGAGGAGATGACCAGAGACTGCGGACACAGTACAGGGATGACCAGAGACTGCGGACACAGTACAGGGATGACCAGAGACTGCGGACACAGTACAGGGAATGACCAGAGACTGCGGACACAGTACAGGGGATGACCAGAGACTGCGGACACAGTACAGGGATGACCAGAGACTGCGGACACAGTACAGGGATGACCAGAGACTGCGGACACAGTACAGGGGATGACCAGAGACTGCGGACACAGTACAGGGGATGACCAGAGACTGCGGACACAGTACAGGGGATGACCAGAGACTGCGGACACAGTACAGTGGATGACCTGAGACTGCGGACAGTACAGGAGATGACCATAGACTGCGGACAGTACAGGAGATGACTGCTGACCTTTGAGGAGGGGGGGAGCGGGTACCTGAATTTGACGGGTACCCGCTCTTACTTCCGCGGAATTGTCCTTTGATCTTACCTGTTCCTCTATCCAGCTGCGCACTGTCTACCCGGCTTCTGTAGTGTGGGCGGACAGCCGGATGCCCAGTGCGCATGAGCGGGAAGCGCTGAGCTTTATGATTGGTCCGGCAGCTTCTGGGATCTGTCATGTGTCCCAGGTACCGCCTTACCATTCACAAAGAGCACCGCTTCTTGCGCATGCGCACTTGGCACCCGGCTGTCACGCACACTACAGAAGCCGGGAAGACAGCGCGCCGCTGGATAGAGTAACAGGTAAGGTCCCACTGCAGAGCTGAGCGGCCGGCCCGGTATTCTGACACGGCGGCGGTGGAAATACCGGACCGGCCGCTCCATATTCGCTCCATAAGACACACTGACATTTTCCCCCCTTTTTTTGGGGGAAAGAAGTGCGTCTTATGGAGTGAAAAATACGGTAAGTAGCAGCCTTAAAACTTAGGCCTGGGTCACAGCTATGCAGTTTTTAGTGCTTTTTGCACTAAAAGCACTAAAAACTGGGACTTTTTTCAAACAGCAGTAGGTGTGAACCAGGCCTTAACAGAAGCTTGATGCTGAATAGCTCAGAAGACACTGACACTCCTGGTCTAGGCGGCCTTGACTTTGAAAATAGGAACCTTGCACTTGACACCATAGGCCTGAGAAATGAGATGACAAATCCACCTAGAATTAGTGGATGGTGAAGTAGCCTGACCCTTGCGAGCAGGGCCGCTGTTAGAAATCATGGGGCTCTGTACAGCCTACCTGATGGGGCCCCCTTTGATCCCTCCCTTGACCCCTGGCTCTGTCCTCGATGACACCTCACCTGACCTCCAAAACAAAATGCAGTTGGCTCTTCAAGTGCTTGCGGTAACAGGGGAAACAGTTACAAATACAAGTGTAAATGAGTCCTAAGACTACAGGGCTTTTTTTTCAGAACATGGGTGTATAAACTCTATCACGCCCCCATCGCACCACTTGTCATCAACAACACTTCCCCGCCCCCCCATGTGCTACATACAGAATGCAGAGTTCAGTAGTGTGCGACATACAGAGTGCAGGGTTCGGTAGTGTATTATGCACAAAGTGCAGAATTCAGAGGTGCCCTATGTACAAAGTGCAGAGTTAAGAAGTGCGTTACGCATGGAGTGCAGCGTTTGGGTAGTGTGCTGCGAACAGAGTACAGGGTTCGAGTATGCAGCGTACAGAGTGCTGAGTTGAAAAGTGTTATGTACAGGGTTGAAGCGTACACTATGCAGACAGTGCAGAGTTCAGTAGTGTACTATGTACACATTGCAGGGTTCAGGATTGTGCTACATACAGACTGCAGAATTCAGGAATGTGTTTCCCTCAGAATGCTGGGTTCAGGAGTGCACTACATACAGACTTCAGAGTTCATGAGTGCGTTATCCTCAGACTTCAGGGTTTAGGAGTGCGCTATGTACAGAGTGCAGATTTCAGGAGTGCGTTACATTCAGAGTGCAAGGTTGAGGATTGCACATTGAGGATTGTACAGAGTACAGGTGTGCATATCTCACAGGCCGGTTTACAATTCTCCCCTCCCCAGTACAGAGTTCTCCCCCCAAATTTCTGCAACAGAGCTCTTCTCTACTCCCTGCTTAGTACACAGAGCCCCTCTCCTCCTCTTCCTGGCCATTTCTTTACTCCCTGTCCAGTACACAGAGCTCCTCTCCTCCATAGAAAAAACAATGTACTGCAACTTACAGTAAGAGCTCATGATGTTGGGGCAGGCTTCTGGTAATGCTGTGGGCATGAGACTAGAGCTGTGTGCCCCACCCTGTCCAGTCCCACCATGCCCCCCTCCTCATTCTGCCTAGCCCCCTCCTCATTCCACCACGCCCCCCTCCTCTGTTGTATATGCAGGGAGAGAAGGGAGGGTTTCGAGTGTGCCGCCGATATTGCTGTCACTGTAGTGAGCGGCAATGCAAAGGCCAGGTTCTGCAGGAAGGTTCTGGCTGAACAAAAAAAAAGCCCTGTTACTGATGCATTATAAAACTTGAAGCTGCAGCTGGCTGGGCCCCCTACAGGAGGCCCGGAGTTACCTCCTTATCAGCGGCTCTGCTTGCGAGGCCGCTCAGGTAGAAAAAAACAACAATTCAGACTACTGAAACAAACCCATTATATACCAAAGAGATTATGCCTCTCACTTATCATGCTGTGTTTTATTCTGAAAAAGTTTTACAATTAAAAACCATGGTAACACACTAAAAAAAATCCACTTTACAACTTGCTCATATTATTACATTAGGAAGGCTTACACCATGTAGACCAACATCTGTACATATTTAGCCATTCAAAGGTAGATAGTGGCTACATATGGGATAATCAAATATACGGCTTTCAACAGTGTGTTTGAAAGGATGTCTATACATTTTAGCATCACACATGTCAAAAAGCTTAGTTATTTATACATCTAATGATATGTTCAATGCAGTTTCACACATTCCCAAGTTTAGGCTTAAAAAAAGAAAAAAAATGCTCACAGTTTGAAAGGTTGAGCTATGAGTATAAAACCGATATATGGAAAGAAAGAATTAGGGCCTATCCATAACACAAGGACACTTTCTATATGCCCACAATGGAGTTCAAATTCCAGTGGCTTATACATAAATCTCAAAGCATCCAAAATCAATCTAATCCAAATCTTTAATAACATTCTCCACTCCGTGCTATGATGCGACAGACCTATGATTTCAATACCTGCCAGAAGGTGTCACTTTTATTTATTTATTTCAGGAACTTATATAGCGCTGTCAATTTACGCAGCGCTTTACATATATATATATATATATATATATATATATATATATTGTACATTAACATCAGTCCCTAACCCTCAAGGGGCGTACAATCTAAGGTCCCTAACTCACATTCATACATACACATACTAGGGCCAATTTGGACAGGAATCAATTCACCTACCAGCATGTCTTTGGAGTGTGGGAGGAAACCGGAGTACCCGGAGGAAACCCACGCAAGCACAGAGAGAACATGCAAACTCCATGCAGGAGGTGCCATGGTCGGGAATCAAACCCATGACCCATTTAATGCAAGGCAGACATGCTAACCATTAAGCCACTGTGCCGCCCATTCTTGGGGTGCCTCATGACTGTCCATAATTTTAAAAGGGCACCCCACATGTAGGACACCCAACGTTAGAGGTGATTTATTCTTCCAAAGCAACTACAGTTTTGCTCACTGGTCCTTAGTATTCCAGTGTTTCTCTTCTCCCTCAGTTTTTTCTCCATCACTGAGCTAATGTGACCCCAGCACTGATGGAGAAAGGCAGGGGAAAGTCAAACTAGAATGCTGTGCAGGCAGACAACATCCTCTTTATCAATTGCTAATGTCATTGGTTGTCAGGACACTGGAGGCTAGAAGGTTGTAATGGTGCACAATGAAAACCTGTGGCTTTGTGTAACTAAAAGGCAGGCTTGTTCCACTCACTGGCTTATATACAAGTTTTAGGCAATTTTTAGACATTTTGCCAAGGCACCCCTGCAGAAACCTCAAGGGACCCTGGTTGAGAAAGGCTGCACTAGAGGAAGAGGGCCACTGAATCAAAACTATTGAAGGCATGTCCCTTTTCATCCAGTTAGTTACTGGTGACAGCCCCTTAATGAAGGAAGCAAAGGGGAAATTATCCAATTTTCCCCCCTTTATCAGACCCTGACACTGAGCAAATATGACTGTGATATAATTACTAAAAATGCATATGATTTTTTTTTACATTAAAGCCAAATTCCCATCAAAACATTATTGTGTTTTAGATGAACTAACTGAAGATGAGTAAATACGTCGTTATGTACCACTATCCTTGACCATGTTAGAGAGATTTAATCTCACTTCCAGCCCCTGCTCTGTGGCAGCTGGACAAGAAGTAATATCCTTACAGAAGTCCTAACCTTTCCCCTATTTTACTGAAAGAAAACTGTAGTAGTGCTGCAGTTTGTGTCGTCACTTGTCCTGACAGAAAATAAGGAAAGATCTCTCCAAAGATGGTAAAGACCACAATGAGAATACAAGAGGAGTTCTATCTCTACCCCACTTTGTCAAAAACAAAAAAAGGTTTGGGCTGGACATTTTCAACTTACAGTTGCAAGAAAAAGTATGTGAACCCCTTGGGACACAACAATAGAAGAACACAGTCTGCTGAACATAATACTACACAAACATTAGATGTTGCCATGGTTTAATTGCACATAACATGTAAACATTCACAGTGCAGGGAGGAAAAAGTATGTGAACCTTTGGACTTCATAACTGGTTGACCCTCCTTTGGCAGCAATAACCTCAACCAAACGTTTCCTGTAGTTGCAGATCAGACCTGCACAACGATCTGGAGTAATTTTGGACCACTCCTCTTCACAAAACTGTTTCAGTGTAGCAATATTCTTGGGATGTTTGGTGTGAATCGCTCTCTTAAGGTCATGCCACAGCATTTAAATCGGGTTGAGGTCAGGACTCTGACTGGGCCACTCCAGAAGGCGTATTCTGTGCTGTTGCAGCCATTGTTGTGTTGAATTACTTGTATGCTTTGGGTCATTGTCCTGTTGCATCACCCATCCTCTGCGGAG